GTACTTCCCATGGACATATTTCGATCTCAGAAGATTTCAGCTCCGGGTCGGAAACGAATCGTTGGGGACCAGGGAGCGGCTGGGGGATGACCACCTCAAATACTTTTTCTCTAAGGTTGATGGACTGATTACATCATCTTTACTTCAATGACTGAAGAAGCCTACTGTGTAAGCGAAACGTTCCATCAATAAAGATACCCAACTGTTGCACATGTGTCTTAATTTTCAACACAGGTCAATACTGTTTTACTATCACAGTCATTACTACTAACACGATCACCACCAACACAATCACAAGCACACATCACTATAATCACCACCAAAACAATCACCATTGCTGTTGGAGCCACAGTTACCATCCAGTCACCACCATAATCATCATTTAAAAATTAACACCACCAGCAATTACTCCACTACTACAATTTGCACCACTACCACAATCACCACCCCTACCAAAATCACCAAACTACAGTGGCTATCACTATTACAATCACCAATACTAATGCGATCATCGCTACTGCAATCACCGTCATACCCACTGTACAGCCACAATCACCGTCATACCACTGTACAGCCACAATCACCGTCATACCCACTGTACAGCCACAATCACAGTCATCCCCACTGTACAGTCACAATCACCGCCATACCCACTGTACAGCCACAATCACCGTCATACCCACTGTACAGCCACAATCACCGTCATACCCACTGTACAGTCACAATCACCGCCATACCCACTGTACAGCCACAATCACCGTCATACCCACTGTACAGCCACAATCACCGTCATACCCACTGTACAGCCACAATCACCGTCATACCCACTGTACAGTCACAATCACCGCCATACCCACTATTACTGCCAAAATCATCACAACAATCATTACAACTTCCACAACAATCACCATCCACGTTATAATCAAAAAGCCATTATCACCACAGTCACAACAATCACAACTTCTAGAATCACAATTACAACGACTACTAAAATCACTATTAATCACATCACCTCATTTACAGTCATCCAGTCATCACGACTACCTCAGTCACCACCATTACAACCATTAATACCACAATCACCACAACTATCCCAACCATTAATACCACAATAAGTAAGTAAGGTTATTCAGGTATACACAAATACAGTTACATAGATTATCATACACAGTAGCATGTGTGTAGAGAACCTGCGATAACCCAAAAAAGTCAGACACCGTGACTTATATTTCCATTGGGTCTTTTATTTATTTCACCATCACAACCACTAAAACCACAATCATCACTAATAACACAATCGCCACCCCCATTACAACCGCTAATGTAATTATCACCACAACCAATAATATAATCACCACCAAAACCACTAATAACAATCACCATCACACCCACTAATAACATAACCACAACCACTAATAACCACCACTACAACTACTACTATACTCCTACCTGTCAGGTTGGCCGAGTGGTCTAAGGCGCCAGATTTAAGCTCTGGTACTCGCAAGAGTGCGTGGGTTCGAACCCCACACCTGACAAAAGGCATAACACTTTTCATTACGTATAAGTGCAGTATAGCACCTCAGTTATGTTAGGTAAGGTTTGTCAGCAAACAGGAAGTGTTCCTAACGCGGGTCTTAGTCAACTGATGACCCACCGATGGTGCTTTTGGTCATTTGACCGAGGCTTTCCACTGGCTTACCGGTCCACCCTTTTAAAAATTATGGTCATAGTTATAGCCAATTTCTCAGTTACTGGAATCACTCCAAAAGGCTCAGCAAGCGGAGAAGCATCCTTCAATGAAAAGCAGGAGCGCCATAAGTACACTAAGACAACACAATAAGTGTCAGGGGCCCAAAACTGTTCAACTGCCTCCCAACATACATAAGGGGGATTACCAATAGACCCCTGGCTGTCTTCAAGAGGGAGCTGGACAGGCACTTTAAGTGCCTGACCAGCCGGGCTGTGGTTCGTACGTTGGTTTGCGTACGACCGGAAGTAATAGCCTTTTTAGTCCAGCCCTGATCCACCACGAGGCCTGGTTATGGACGGGTCGTTGATCCCTGCAATGCCACTATAACTACCACAACCACTACAATTAAAACAATCATTATAACTGCTACAACTGCCACAATCACTACAACTAAAACAGTCACTACTACCAGATTCAAAACAATCATTAGAATTACCACAACAATCTTACCAAGTACCAAAATCACAACAGCTACCACAATCACAGCATCTAGCCCAATTATTACAACTAGCACACTCATCACTACAACTAACACAATCACTACACCTACTACAATTAACTCTATAACAACCACAATCATAACTGTAATAACTACAAATGCCATAACAATCACTACAACTACAATCACTGCAAGTACCACAATCACTACAAGTACCACAAACATTTCAGTTGTCACAATTCCAACTACCAATAAAACAACTACCACAGTCACAGCAACTAACACAGTCATTACAACTACCACAATCACCGCCATCATAACAATCACCACCATCACGCTCACCTGTATCCATAAGAACCAGTATCGCTGGCCACCGCAGCCATGACCACACCTGCAAGGCCGCCCATCACGCCCGCCACCCCGTGAGACACGCCCACCCCAGCTGTGTCCTCCACGCCCGCACGCCTCCGTAACACCGGCTGTAAACATGTAGTAAACTCTGAGTTTGTTCTTAGGAGAGTGTGTGTAATCACATATATATGATTGCAGTGATCGAGTCTCGGCCCCTGGCCCCGCCTCTTCATAGTCGGTACTACAGTCACTCTCTCCTGGCTTCGAAAGCCTTATCGTACCTCATGTTAAAGCTATGTATGGATCCTGCCCCAACCACTCTGCTACCCAGGTCGCTTCTCCTCTTGAGTGCTCTAAGACTGAAGAAATACATCCTGATATCCCTGACTCATCTGTATTTTCAACCTCCAGCTGTGCCCTGATGTTCCTGTTTTCCATCTCTCGAACAATCTGCCCCTCTCCATCCTATCAATTCTTTTCAGTATTTTGTAGTGCTATATCAACCCAAGTCCTTCTTTCATCTAATGTAATCAGGTTTAGTTTCCTTGATCTCTCCTCATAGGACATACCTGGAGTTTACCTGGAGAGAGTTCCGGGGGTCAACGCCCCCGCGGCCCGGTCTGTGACCAGGCCTCCTGGTGGATCAGAGCCTGATCAACCAGGCTGTTGCTGCTGGCTGCACGCAAACCAACGTACGAGCCACAGCCCGGCTGGTCAGGAACCGACTTTAGGTGCTTGTCCAGTGCCAGCTTGAAGACTGCCAGGGGTCTGTTGGTAATCCCCCTTATGTATGCTGGGAGGCAGTTGAACAGTCTCGGGCCCCTGACACTTATTGTATGGTCTTTTAACGTGCTAGTGACACCCCTGCTTTTAATTGGGGGGATGTTGCATCGTCTGCCAAGTCTTTTGCTTTCGTAGTGAGTGATTTTCGTGTGCAAGTTCGGTACAAGTCCCTCTAGGATTTTCCACTATAACTCAGGACTACTGAGTACCATTCTGGTGCTGCATACTCCAGTATGGGCCTGTGTATGTGTACTCATTTGAACTCGCCTATTTGTGGTCGCAGGGGTCGATTTACAGCTCCTGGCCCCGCCTCTTCACTGGTCGCTATTAGATTCACTCTCTCCCTGCACCATGAGCTTTATCGTATCTTTTCTTAAAGCCATGTATGGATCCTACCTCCACTACAACACTCTCCAGATTGTTCCGCTTCCTGATAACTCTTTGACTGAAGAAATACTTCCTAACACCTTGTGACTCATCTGAGTTTTCAACTTCCAGTTGTGACCCCTTGTTGCTGTGTGCCATCACTGAAGCATCCTGTCCCTATCCACTTTGTCAATTCCTCTCACTAATTTATGTCGTTATCATGTCCCCCCTATCCCTCTTGTCCTCCAGTATCGCAAGTGTGTGCACTCACCTAATTATGGTTGCTGGGGTCGATTCACAGCTCCTGGCCCCGCCTCTTCACTGGTGTATGTGTGTGCACAGAATGCATATTTAATCAGAAGTAGCAAAACAACTCAGGGAAAGAATGACACTTACAGCAAGCCATCGCCGTGTAAGGATACAGGTGGCACTAACAGTGGCACCCAGCAGCAGTGCACCATACGCCTCAATCATCATGTCAGCCACGGCACTGATGGCCACGGCTCCGCCCACCACCCCACACTGTACGTCGCTCTGCAGGCGGTAACTTTATTAAAGTACAGGTACATGTAAGTACAGTTATCATACACAGTGTAAATTACCTAGGATAACCTCAAAAAAAAAAAAAAAAAAAAAAAAAAAAAAAAAAAAAAAAAAAAAAAAAAAAAAAAACGTCGAAGTGACCTACTCCCACTGGGGTCTTTGGTGTCTCTTAAGCATATAGACTATCAGTCAGCTGCAGCTTATATATAGTACATCATGCCACCAGGAAGCCAAAAAAAAAAAAAAAAAGTTTTCACAGTTCAGTTATTCCAATGTAGAAATCGCTTAGACTTATTACCTGGAGTTTACCTGGAGAGAGTTCCGGGGGTCAACGCCCCCGCGGCCCGGTCTGAGACCAGGCCTCCTGGTGGATCAGAGCCTGATCAACCAGGCTGTTGCTGCTGGCTGCACGCAAACCAACATACGAGCCACAGCCCGGCTGATCCGGAACTGACTTTAGGTGCTTGTCCAGTGCCAGCTTGAAGACTGCCAGGGGTCTGTTGGTAATCCCCCTTATGTGTGCTGGGAGGCAGTTGAACAGTCTCGGGCCCCTGACACTTATTGTATGGTCTCTTAACGTGCTAGTGACACCCCTGCTTTTCATTGGGGGGATGGTGCATCGTCTGCCAAGTCTTTTGCTTTCGTAGTGGGTGATTTTCGTGTGCAAGTTCGGTACTAGTCCCTCTAGGATTTTCCAGGTGTATATAATCATGTATCTCTCCTCCCTGCGTTCCGGGGAAAATACAGGTTTAGGAACCTCAAGCGCTCCCAATAATTGAGGTGTTTTATCTCCGTTATGCGCGCCGTGAAAGTTCTCTGTACATTTTCTAGGTCGGCAATTTCACCTGCCTTGAAAGGTGCTGTTAGTGTGCAGCAATATTCCAGCCTAGATAGAACAAGTGACCTGAAGAGTGTCATCATGGGCTTGGCCTCCCTAGTTTTGAAGGTTCTCATTATCCATCCTGTCATTTTTCTAGCAGATGCGATTGATACAATGTTATGGTCCTTGAAGGTGAGATCCTCCGACATGATCACTCCCAGGTCTTTGACGTTGGTGTTTCGCTCTATTTTGTGGCCAGAATTTGTTTTGTACTCTGATGAAGATTTAATTTCCTCATGTTTACCATATCTGAGTAATTGAAATTTCTCATCGTTTGAACTTCATATTGTTTTCTGCAGCCCACTGAAAGATTTGGTTGATGTCTGCCTGGAGCTTTGCAGTGTCTGCAATGGAAGACACTGTCATGCAGATTCGGGTGTCATCTGCAAAGGAAGACACGGTGCTGTGGCTGACATCCTTGTCTATGTCGGATATAAGGATGAGGAACAAGATGGGAGCGAGTACTGTGCCTGTGGAACAGAGCTTTTCACCGTAGCTGCCTCGGACTTTACTCTGTTGACGACTACTCTCTGTGTTCTGTTAGTGAGGAAATTATAGATCCATCGACCGACTTTTCCTGTTATTCCTTTAGCACGCATTTTGTGCGCTATTACGCCATGGTCACACTTGTCGAAGGCTTTTGCAAAGTCTGTATATATTACATCTGCATTCTTTTTGTCTTCTAGTGCATTTAGGACCTTGTCGTAGTGGTCCAATAGTTGAGACAGACAGGAGCGACCTGTTCTAAACCCATGTTGCCCTGGTTTTGTAACTGATGGGTTTCTAGATGCGTGGTGATCTTGCTTCTTAGGACCCTTTCAAAGATTTTTATGATATGGGATGTTAGTGCTATTGGTCTGTAGTTCTTTGCTGTTGCTTTACTGCCCCCTTTGTGGAGTGGGGCTATGTCTGTTGTTTTTAGTAACTGTGGGACGACCCCGTGTCCATGCTCCCTCTCCATAGGATGGGAAAAGGCTCGTGATAGGGGCTTCTTGCAGTTCTTGATGAACACAGAGTTCCATGAGTCTGGCCCTGGGGCAGAGTGCATGGGCATGTCATTTATCGCCTGTTTTGAAGTCATTTGGCGTCAGGATAACATCGGATAGGCTTGTGTTAATCAAATTTTGTGGCTCTCTCATAAAAAATTCATTTTGATCTTCGACCTTTAGTCTGGTTAGCGGCTTGCTAAAAACTGAGTCATATTGGGACTTGAGTAGCTCACTCATTTCCTTGTTGTCATCTGTGTAGGACCCATCTTGTTTAAGTAGGGGCCCAATTTCTGGACGTTGTTCTCGATTTTGATTTGGCATAGGAGAAGAAATACTTTGGGTTTCTTTCGATTTCATTTATGGCTTTTAGTTCTTCCCGCGATTCCTGACTCCTAAAGGATTCTTTTAGCTTAAGTTCGATGCTTGCTATTTCTCTGACCAGTGTCTCCCTACGCATTTCAGATATATTGACCTCTTTTAGCGCCTTGTTATTCTTTTCCGTCGCCTGTAAAGGGAGCGCCTGTCTCTTTCTGTTTTACATCTACTCCTCCTTTTTCTTAGAGGAATAAGCCTTGTGCATACATCGAGTGCTACCGAGTTAATCTGTTCTAGGCATAAGTTGGGGTCTGTGTTGCTTAGTATATCTTCCAGCTTATATCGGTTAGGACTTGGTTTACTTGGTCCCACTTTATGTTTTTGTTATGAAGTTGAATTTGGTGAATGCTCCCTCGTGACTAATCTCCTTTTTGTCGGTCTGGGGCTCCGCGCATACATGACTGAACCTCAATTATGTTGTGATCTGAGTATATTGTTTTTGATATGGTGATATTTCTTATCAGATCATCATTGTTAGTGAAGATGAGGTCTAGTGTATTCTCCAGTCTAGTAGGCTCTATTATTTGCTGGTTTAAATTGAATTTTGTGCAGAGATTTAAAAGCTCGCGTGAGTGTGAGTTTTCATCAGAGCTGCCTCCTGGTGTTATTACTGCAACAATATTATTTGCTATATTCCTCCATTGTTAGGTGCCTTAAGTTGAAATCCCCCAGGAGCAAGATGTTGGGTGCAGGAGCTGGAAGGTTTTCCAGACAGTGGTCAATTTTTAACAGCTGTTCCTGGAATTGATGGGATGTTGCATCCCGGGGGCTTGTAGACTATCACAATGACTAGTATTCTTAAAAGTTCCAAAAAATACTAAATGAAAAATGGGATCATTTCAGCTGAACCTGAACCATCATTATCACGCTGTAATAATAATTCATTATTGTACTGTATTCAATTTTTTTTTATATTTTATTTAAAACTCAGGTACAAAAAATATATGGGTACATAATCAATATGTAACAAGATACAAGCAGTAAAACGATAATCTGCAGTGACTACACAAATACCAAAGAAGCACTTACATAATGACATCAGAATTGGCTGCTGCACTCCAATCAAACACTACTTTTATGTACTGTGCTTCACGTGAAAAGATGGTCTTATAATAAAAACGATAGTCCTACCTAGTAATGCTTACACTCTCCCCCCCCCTTGAAAAACATACCACTTTCACCTGAGTATACTCATTGACATCTCTTATACATTTATTAGAGCATTAAGGACATCATTGACAACATGTATAAACACAATCCAGCCATCTAAAAGGCTGACTATAATACAAGGAATGTCTGAACATGATGGCACACATCCACCAAAGAAACCAATCCACACCCTAACCCTCATATACCCCATGATAACAATCAATATCGTGCACGGTGGTGGATTTAATACACTACCGCTGACTCTTCACCCCCCCCCCCCACATGCCTAGTAACTGTGTCTGCCGTCACCACTCATAACCTCCATCAGTCATTAAATTTTAAAAAAATACATTAAAATACAATAACATAAAGGAATATAAGAACCCCTTATCGTCTCCGCCACAGAAAAATAAATTTTTTACATTTTCTAAATACATACTGCTGATTCATCTTTGTGCTTACAAAATATCCCCCATCCCCTATGCTGTTTATCTCTTTACTCCAAAGCTAAAAACCAGTTTATACATTTCATCAATCAAAATTAATTATAATAAGCATAATGATATCAATACTTATCATCCCCATTGACCTCATCGCTTTATTGCCGTGAGGTTGTGCTGCGCACAACGCTCCTGGTGAGAGGCCTTCCTGCCAGATTGATTTTCACAAGATGGCGCAGACTGTCAGAAGGCGCGTCAAAACTGTGTGCTTTGTTTTTAGTGCGGGGGTAATTACCCCTCAGTCCGCACAGGGCTTCTACCTTTGATTATTCGCGACACATACGGCATTGCTGATCAAGATTTGTAGGAGTATCGCTCAACGGGGCTTTACCGAATATATCGTTAAGCTACGATCGACGGCAGTGTATGAGCGCCTGGTGGAGCAGTATCAAGATGGCTGTGTGGACGTAAACTCGGCAATACGAGTTCTTTTAAATTTGACGTGTCGCGACACTACACTTGGGTGAAGGTACGCAACGTGCCTTTCGAAGCTGACGAGGCAGATATACGGAACGTTTTTGAACGTTATGGTACTGTGCATCTGGCAATGGCAGGTCCCCTGGGTGGATGGGGCGTACGCCGGCTGGCCGGGGGGTTTACGTTCAACCTAAAGATGACGCTGAGGCATCCCATCCCGTCGTTTGTCATCCTGGACGACTTTAGGACGCAAGTGATGGGTATTACGCAGGGCAGCGCAAGACCTGCGGGCTATGTGGTGCTTATGACCATATGGCAGCACAGGGGTGAGAGGCAGCAGCAACGACAGTTGCAGACAGAAGGACGGACCCGAGGGCCTGACCCGAAGGCGGGGCCTGCCAGCGGGATGCCTGTAAAGGGCCATAGTTCTTTCTTGGAGTGAGGAGGGGGGAGAGAGAGTTCCCGACGGTGGGGTCGAGCCCATCGATGCCTGTAGAATCTACAGTCTCCGCTTTGGTGGAAGGGGAGACCAAGTTGAGTGGAGGAGAACGGCAGAGGAATGTGGCTCTGGAGCAGTTGACGGAAAAGTTTTTGGAGACGAAGAGAGCTGGAGATGATTACAATCGGTGGTGGGCCCCTGAGGAGAGTGAGGACAAAGAGGACAGCCACTGACTGCAGGTG